AGCAAATTGGTTCTTACATTTTTAATATAAAATTTCAAGTTATGAATATCTCTTCATCATACAGCTGCTTATTAGAGAGACCCTGGATCCACAAGGCAAGCACTGTTCCCTCTTCATTGCACCAAAAAATCAAATTCAATATAGAAGGACAATTGGTGATTATGGCTAGAGAGAAAGATTTGCTAGTAACTCAACCCATAAATGCCCTATATGTAGTAGCAGTAAAAAAATCAGTGGAGTGCTCATACAGATCTTTTGAACCAATCAATACAGTGGGTAAAGGGCTCAAATTCAGTCAAATCATGATTAATTAGATGGTTAACAAAGGTTGGAGTATTAGGTTTGGTCTGGGCAAGAACCTTCAATGGATGAGAGAATTCCCGAAGCTTGAGGACAATAGTGGTAAAATAGGATTGAGTTATAAGATAGGGGAAGTACCAAGCCCTTGTAGGAGGATAAAAAATAAGCTGACGGTTGTTCCCCATTTAAATGAAACTTTCACTCTTGGAGGATATATGCTTTCAAAAACTGAAGGGGACACAGGAGAGGAACCAAAGTCGGAGGAAGCTTTCGCCAAGCTATCCATTCATATGGTGGATAATGGAAGCCAAAATGAGGAAGCCATGGTTTACCTTGCCCACCAGGATATAAAATGCAGACTTGGAGGGTCATCTAAATGCCAATTATTTTTTATTTTCCTTTAATGTAATCACATCTCCTGATTGCTTATGCCCAAAACCATTATGATGAAATCTTATGTTTAGGCCTTCTATTTTTTATTATTTCAATAAAAGTAGGAGCATGTATTTTGTTCATTCTTTCTATTCTATTCATTCCACCATCAAAATCTCTTGTCAATATTTCCTATTCTATTAACTTTCAAGTCCCCTAATGAATGCGAAGATGATCATGACAATGATTGGGGTTTAATTTTGAAAATTCAATTAATACCGATGAACTTGATACTTAAGAAGATTCTTGAAGAATATACTTTATCTTCAAAATTAATGAAACTAATTGAATAGAAAGATAAATCCATTGAGCCTCATTAAGAAATGGTCAAATTGATCAATTTGGGTGATCTCGAAAATAAGAAAAAAGTCAAGATTTACACTTCATTTTTGGTTGTTGACCGATAGTGATTAGAGGATTTGCTTCAAGAATTTATGGATGTCTTTGCTTGTTCTTACCAAGATATGCCTGGACTTAGCACTGAAATAGTGGAGCATAAGTTACCATTGAAGCCACAATGCAAATCGATATAGCAAAAGCTAAGAAGAATGAAACCAGAGATGCTGTTGAAAATCAAAAAGGAAGTTAAAAAGCAATTTAATGTAAGCTTCTTGCAAGTGGCCAAAGTATCCCAAATGGGTGGCTAATATCATACCTATTACCAAAAAAGATGGTAAGGTGCGGATGTGTGTAGACTATAAAGACTTAAACAAGGCTAGCCCTAAGGATAATTTTTCTTTACCTCACATTGATACTTTAGTGGATAATATAGCCCAACATTTAGTATTTTTTTTCATGGATAGATTTTTTTGGTACAATCAGATAAAAATGGCCTCAACTGACATGGAAAAGACCACTTTTATCATCATATGAAGGATTTTTTGCTACAAAGTTATGCCCTTTAGGCTAAAAAATGCTGGAGTAACTTATCAAAGGGCTATGGTGACGCTTTTCCATAATACGATGCATAAGGAGATTGAGATGTATGTGGATGACATAATTACCAAGTCCTGAAAAGGAAAAGATCATGTAATCAACCTCAAAAAGTTATTTAAAAGGTACGAAAGTTCCAACTCAAGCTGAACCTAGCTAAATATACATTTAGAGCCAGGTCAAGAAAGTTACTGGGATTTATAATCAGCGAAAGAGGGATAGAAGTAGATTCAAACAAAATTTGAGCCATTCAGAATCTATCTCCACTAAGTACACAAAAAGAGGTTCATGGTTTTTTGGGCAGATTGAATTATATTTCTCGGTTCATATCTTAACTCACTCTTAAATATGACCCTATTTTCAAACTTCTTCGAAAGAATAATCTCGAGGAGTGGAATGAGCAATGTCAAGAAGCTTTCGATAAGATCAAGTGGTACTTATCAAACCCTTCAATATTAGCACCTCTTTATCTCAGAAAAACCACTAATTCTATACCTAGTGGTACAAGAAAGCTCGATGGGATGTGTGCTAGGCCAACAAGATGGATCTAGTAAGAAAAAAAAGTTATTTATTATTTGAGCAAAAAATTCACAGAGTATGCGTCCAAGTATTCATTACTAGAGAAAATGTGTTGTGCTTTGGCTTGGACGGCTAAAAGGCTCATGTAGTACATGCTATACCATACCACTTTACTCATAGCTAAATTAGATCATATCGAATATATCTTCGAAAAGCCTTCACTATCAGAAAGAATCGCAAGATGGCAAGTGTTGCTTTCTAAATATGACATAGCATATGTAAGTCAAAAAGCAATCAAAGGAAGTGTTATTGTTGCATTCTTGGTAGAGAAGGCCGTTGAAGATTATGAGCCCATGAAGTTTGATTTCCCATATGAGAAATTAATGGCCATCTTAGAATCAGAAGAGGATGATGATGAAGAAGGAACATGACAGATGTATTTTGATAGGGCCGCTAATACCATGAGGCATGGGATTAGAGCAGTTTTGATATCTTTAACAGAGCACTACTATCCTGTTACAACAAGATTAAACTTCAATTGCACCAATAATGCCACTAAGTATGAAGTTTGTGTCATGGGGCTACATGCAGCTTTAGACAAGAGGATTGAAATATTAAAGGTGTTTGGAAACTCAGCTCTAGTCATTTATCAATTGAAAGGTGAATGAGAGACAAGGGATTCAAAACTCATCCCTTATAAAAAAATACAACTTAGAGCTGTGCAAACAGTTTAAAATAATTCAATTTGAACACTTACCTTAAGAAGAAAATCATATTACAGATGCCTTGGCTACCTTGACCGTCATGGTACGGATCAATGATACCACTGAAATCCAATCTATTAGGTTGGATATCAAAGATATGCCAATACATTATACCAATTTAGAAGAAGAGGATGATGGCTACCCCTGGTATTATGATATCATACAGTATTTAAAAAATCAATAATATCCAAATTAAGTAACAAAAAATGATAAGAGAGTCTTACGAAAATTGGCTATGAGATTCTTTCTAGATGGAGAAACTTTATACAGAAAGGGTAAGGACCAAGTGTTACTTTATTGTGTAAGTGCATCTGAAGCTAAAAGAATTATTGAAGAAGTGCACAATGGTGTATGTGGGGCACATACAAATGGACATATGATGGCGAGATAGGTTATGCAAGCTGAATATTACTGGTTGATGATGAAAAAAGATTGTATCGATTATGCTCGAAAGTGCTATAAATGCCAAATTTATGCTGACATGATTCATGCTCCGTCCAACGCTTTGTATGTCATAGCACCACTTTGGCCATTTTCTATATGAGACATGGATGTCATTGGCCCTATCACACCAAAGGCTTCAAAAGGGAATAGATTCATTTTTGTGATGATTGACTACTTTACCAAATAGGTCAAGGATACTTCTTTCATAGCAGTGACTAGATCAGTAGTCTATAAATTCATCAAAAAAGAAATAATTTATAGATATGGGCTATCAAAAAAAATTATAGCTGACAATGCCAAGAATATAAATAACAAGATAATATAAGAAGTATGTGCTCAGTTCAAGATCAAGCACCATAATTCAGCCTCATATTGCCCAAAAATGAATAGGGTAGTGGAAGCTACAAACAAGAATATCAAAAAAATTTTGAAAAAGATGATTGAAACATACAAAGATTGGCATGAGAAATTACTTTTTGCTTTACATGCGTATCGAACTTCTATACGCATCTCTACTAGGGCAATTTTCTTCTCGTTAGTTTATGGGATGGAAGTTGTATTGCTAATAGAAGTAGAAATCCTATCTTTAAGGGTTCTAAGAGAAGTGGGATTAGAAGAAACTGAATGGGTTAAGAGCGATATGAGCAACTAAACTTTATCGATGAAAAGAGATTGACGGCATTATGCTATGGCCAATTGTATCAAAGAAGAATGATGAGAGCTCATGATAAAAAGGTCAGATTTTGGCAATTTCGATAAGGAGAATTGGTGTTGAAAAGGATTCTTCCAAGTCATCATGATGATAGAGAAAAATAGACTCCAAATTGGGAGGGACCTTATGTGGTAAAAAGAGCTTTTTTTGGATAAGCTTTGATCTTATCAGAAATGGATAGAGATGAACTTTCTGATCCTGTCAATTTTGACATAATGAAGAAGTATTTTGCTTGATTTTCCAAAAAAAAAAAGAAAAAAAGGTCAAATTGAAAACCTGAAAGGGCTGTTTGAACCAAAAAAAGAGAAAAAAGAAAAAAAGTCTAATAAAAAATTTAAAAGGGTGGTTTGGACCTAAAAGAAAATATTCGGATTGAAACTTTGAAAGGTGGCTTTAATTAGCTCTACTTGGAAAGCATATTAGGGACAGTAAATTTTGAAGAGCTTTGAAATGTTAAGGCATCAAGTTTTAATCGAGTTTTTGAAAGAGATCTGAGATTTATTGTCATAGTCATCTAATCATTTGTCTTTAGGCATTGCTACCCCAAATAGTCACTCTTGTGCATTTTTATCCTTCCTACCATCATTTGTAATTGCTTACCTAAATAAATGAAAGCCATCTTTTTATTCTCTAAATCCTCTTCATTGCTCTTTTTCTTTATGTCTTGCCATGAATAGAAGAAATGTATAACTTGCATCCTCATGCTTTTAAATTGGGATAATGATTAGTAATTGAACAAAATCATAAGAAATGAGTTATTTTAAGGGATTGAAAAAGATAAAGGCAAAAAATGACTCAAAAAGACTTCTATGGCTTTTCTTAACATATAGGAGAAATGACTACTTTAACAAAGAACACATCTCCAGGTTGATGAAAAATGGTTTCTTTACAAGACTTCAAGCTAATGAAAGATGGTTTCTTTGCCAAAATGCACCTCTGGGTTGATGAAAAATAGCTTCTTTACCAAATACGAAAAATACTGTGCAGTCTTCAATGGCTTCATGGATCACGGAGAGTGGAGCAGCAGGGTATAGGCGCAACGTTTCCTTAACGATGGATTGAAGGTACACTAAGTTTTTGGTGTCTGATTCTGTTACCAGCAGTCTATCCATGCCAACCTGGATGTCTAGTTCTTGTTGGACCTTCTTCAATTCCTCACGGTTGTTGAGTAACAAAGATAAAGCCCATGTCATTGTGGTTGATGTGGTATCTTCCGCCGCTAAGATGAGACTCTGTTAGATCAGATCATAGTGTACAAATATTTCTGGTTCGTAGTTCATACAATAATTTTTAAAAGAGATTCCAATCGCAATTCTTTCTTTTATCTAAACTACAGCAATGTTTACATTCAAGACAAAGTGTTCTGACTTCTTTATGCCATTAGTAGTCTACCTTGGGACACTAGGTAAGAAGACTTGGAGTTGTGTACCCCAAAAAAAAAAAATTAGAAGGTGAAGTTAATTAAATGAAGTTGAGCAATGAATATTTGGTTAAGAAATGCATGCATGTACCAGACTGGTGGCTTTGTTGATTGTATCAGCATCGTGCTCCTCTACATCACGGAGAATAGACAGCATCACTCCCATGAAATCTTCCTCACTCTTGGCCTCGTTTGCAGCTCTCTTGCGCTTGTGCTCTCGTAGCCTTCCCTCGATAACTTGCTCTAATTCTTTTGCTGTCTTCTTTACGAGCTTCTCCTCTCCTCCTATGTCAAACCATCTCAGAAACGGCACCGCATCTGATACCACGAACTTCCCACTTTGTTCAAAGAAGTCATCCAATAACTTGGTCCATTTCACGGTTTCACCGCCTTCACTGGAATTCGGAATTTGCTTTCCTACAATAATACTCAGAATCACGTTAAGAGTCACTTCTTTGAAACATCTCTTCATATCCAACAATACTTTATCAGAGTTGCTTCTCTTCTTGTTCCACAGCTGATATAGCTGCTCCAGAGATGTCTTTACCTCGGATTCCATCACGTGTTTAAGCATTTCGATCCGGTGGTTTGAGAGGAGCTCAGCAGTGACAAACTTGCGCACTTGACAACAGTAAGGTCCATATGGCGCAGTGCCGATCATGGCATTGTTGTAGCCCAAAAGTTCCAAGCCAACAAGCTTTGGACGATTGGCCAATGCTTTATCGTTTATGGTGAGACATTCTTTAGCAATCTCCCAATTGCTCACCAACAAAGCTCTATGCACACCCAACTTGATGGTGAAGATTGTTCCATATTTTTCAGCCATGTTGGCCAAGCTTATGTGAACTGGTTGTGGCCCTCTTAGGAGGCGAAGATGGCCAATTACGGGCCATGCGCTACCAGCCTCAGGTGCCGTTTTCATTTTGCTTGTTTTTCTTGAGGCAGTTTTTGATATCCATAGAAGAGAGAAAAGAAAAAGTAGTACCGGAAAAGCAATCATTGCAACCGTTGAAGTGGCTGGACATGGATGAAAGCAATCCATTGCTAGATTGCTTCTTCTAGAGCTATGAGCAACTAATATAGGACAAGGGCCTTGGATTTCCCACTAGGATACAGTAAAAGAAAATAAAAGATTAGTGGTAGTTTTGTAGTGGCGTTTTACTTACAAACAGCACTAGCTTTTGTGTTTTTACAAAACTTAAGGTGTTTTTTATCAAAACGCCACTAAATATTCAAATAGCGACGTTTATCGACTAAAACGCTTTGAATAATCCTCTCTAAAAAATTGGAGTAATTATTGAAGGTGTTTTTTGCAGACTACACCTTGAATAATCCCTGAAAAAAAATGGAGGTGCTTATTGAAGGCGTTTTCTACTAAAAATACCTTCAATAAATCTCTTCGTCAATGCATATGCCAAAATTGGAGTAGCACTGTCAGTTAGAGCATACAGTTATTAACCATAAGGTCGTAGATTCGATTCCTCCTTTTAATGTTTTTTAGGTTTTTCGAGAGGTTATTTCTAAAAAATGATTGAAGGAATTTTCTGCCTAAATACGCCTTCAATACTCCATACAAAAATTTGGGGGGATTATTGAAGGTGTTTTTACCCAAGAACGCCTTCAATAGTCCCATCAACAAAATTTGGATAGGATTATTGAAGGTATTTTTTGGCCATAAACACCTTCAATATTCCCTTCCGAATTTTTTAAAGCATTGTTGAAGGCATTTATGGCCAAAATCGCCTCCAATATTCCATTCCAGGATTATTGAAGGTGTTTTTCATTAAAAACACCTTCAATAAATTTAAGAATATTGCAGGAGTTTTTACCCATAAACACCTTCAATAATCCCATTCAACATTTTGTGAGGGATTACTGAAGGCATTTTCTAGCTAAAAATACCTTCAATAATCCCATAAAAAAATATTTGGTTTAATTATACATGTGAAGTCAGTTGTAATTTTATGCCCAGAAAATATTTAAAGTCAGTTGTAGGTTTATGTCTAGAAAACATTTAGTTTATATATGTGATACTGTGAATTACATTTTGGAATTTACATTACAAATATTGTAGTATTTAAATAAATTAACTAGACATCTGAATTTAATATTGGTAATATTGCCAATCTACAAACTTAAATTATCCATTCAATATGGCATGTTAAAAACATTATAACAAATGATCCTCATATATTTACACTCAACCAACAATGTCTAACCTTAAGGTTTAGCTATAAATGATAATACATACTCACACTACTCTTTACGGACTTCATCAAGTTTATCTATCATGAAGCTTTCTTTACTCTCCTACTAAAAAAAAATCAGAAGTAAATATTAATAAACGAGAACATAATTTAGCTTTTTTTTAAGATATAATGACTTTATGAAATTTATACTAACCTTGAATGGTGTGGTCATAAAATCATATAAAATTATCTCCCTTATAAAATGAAGGACATAATATCCACATTCAGTCTATCCAAGTTGACGAGGTACCTAAAAAATAAATTTAGTGGGTTTAAAAATATTTATCTACACAAACTCAGTATAAAAGAATAAATTTCACATTTACCGATAATGACACCCATTTTATTTTTACCTTCTTATCAAATGCAGATATTATCCTAAATTGAATAGAAAAAAATTACTTAATACATAAATAAAATTAGTTATGAAGAAATAGAAGATATATAATATAATAACATGTAATACCTCTTTATAAAATTTTTAATATCAAGGTTAAGCATCACTGTCGGTTGAGCCAAATTAAGTAGGTATGGTGTTAAGGAGTTGGTATCAATCACAATAAGCTGCTAATAACGACTGTAAAATAATAAGAATGATATACTCAGATTAGGTATCATCTCAGATTCAGGTAAGATTGGAATAATTATTTGTATGAATATAGCTTATGCAAAGTTATACGGGAGCAAATAATAATCAGCCTATTTTTTCATGCATTCAATTACATGATTAGCATGAAAAATGACTGTGCCACTCTACTCACCAATGAAATTGGGGTCAATGAATCTGAATCTATGGGTTATTTGTCTCACCTTGACCTTTCTATATAGGAAGCTACACGATAACAATCAACAATACTAGTTAATAATATATCGTAATATAGATTAATACGTATTGAGTTTGCATATTTGTATTTATAAGCTAACCTCATAAGCAACAACATTAGCAGCTGATATTTCATCTAGGTTACAAAATTCATTAACCTCATCCAGACCAATGTAAGAAAATGATAGTTGATCAAATAACTCATCCTCGGACTCAACCGTTATGCAATTTTCTTCTGATAAATGATCAAGTGAATAATTAGATAACTTATCCAATGCAACCTAAGCAAGGGTCATACTCTGAGTCCTAACATCCTACTACAATATATAATGAAATATAAGTATTAAAATAAAATCAATAAATATAATAAACAAATAAATATTAAACTTATAAATAAAATCATACTTCATGGCTGGTAAACGAGGTTGGGTTCCTTACCTGACTTGCAACAGAAGCTTATCCTAGGTGGATAATGCTATCGATTGGCTTATAGGCATGCTAGGCTACATTGCTACTAATATCACCTCCAAAGAAGTAAGTCGTTGCTGTTGCTCATTGAGGCATTGCTCCTAGTCATCAAGTCATTACTGTTGTTGCTCAATGATTGCTTCATATTGTGCATTTGTCATTTAAGGGATTTTGGATTGATTACTGAAAAACTTTAATGACAACACAAATTTATCAACCCCACAAACTCAACTATGCCTTTTTTTAGCTCCTAATGCTAAAGACAATGGATCTCCACCATAATGGGTTGCCAATTCACCATATTTAACTTTAGAAGCATAATCATCCTCAAAGAAAATAATAAGATAGCCATAACAACAAATCTATACAAGCTAGTATAAAGTTATGCATACAACCACAATGCCAATCATATGTGATTTAATGAACTATTATACATACAATCTTTTTAGCCAATTCTTCGATTGCTTTATCTATAAAAGATCCATCATTCTTAGATGTCCTTATTTTCACACATCCCATCTAGAAACTTCGGTGTTAGAGATAGCTAATTTCTAATAAATTACCACAATATAAAAATCAGAATCTATAAAATGAATGTTCATAAATATTCATTTATGAGTATAAAATAAGTGTGTGAATACTTACAAGCTTATACTTGACATTTGCATATCTGTTTCTCGCTGTCTGATGGTGATATATTTGTTTGGCCTGAATGTTCTTTTGGTTTTCTTTGATTTTCTTTAATTTTTTACAAAAAAAAAAATTACGTAAATCACATATGAAGATATCGAATATATTGTATAAAGTCTTATAAATAATTTTTTTTGTAATGGGTTTGCGTACTGAGAAATCTTCTAATAGCTAATCTCAAACAAAAATTCTTCAATCTTCATTACTTATAACATCTGCATATGACCTAGATGAAACAGCTAATACATCACCTTGATCAGCGAGTGATAAAATATATTGGGTTGTCAATCTGCTTTTAAAGTCTCTAAATGCTTTCCCAGTAGATTGCAACACAAGCTTTTTGCACTCAATTGGGATGTCAAACCGTTCTTAAATAATTTAACACTATTAGTATGAACACATTGAATTTCAATTAAATGATAATTTAACAAATTTTATGAAATAGTTGAATAAACATACCACGACTGACTCTCATGTACCATCTTTTAGATCATCAGAAACTCATCGCCAATTATGGTATGTAATTGAAATGCTACTATGAATGACGGCACCAATATGAGTAGCCAACTTGGTAACTCTATCAAACACAGACTGTCTATTTTTATTGAAGTCTACTTGAATTTTTGTGTCACTTACTTTAATTTGTTTATTGCATTCCCTTCTTTTTCTCTTTTGGCCTATAGGTGTGTCTTATGCATATTCAGTAGAAGGAGAAGTATTTACACTGTACGTAACAAAATACAACCAATATCATACTACAAAAATACTATTCAGCAAATCATTCAGCAATGTGTTCAGAAACACCATTCAACAAACTATTTAGAAACACAATTTAGAAAACTATTCAGAAATGCCATTCAGCAAACCAATATCATACAATACCATTCAGCAAACCATAATATTTAAACCAAACTAAACAAAAACATCATACATGCAATGAAAGGTGCTTGGACAACTAAGGTTACGGTGAAATGAATAAAAATATATATGCAGATGTGAATAGTAAGGAACAAAAAAATACCTCTATTAAAGAATATAAATAATATAATAAACAAATAAAATAAAGACATACCGATAAATAGAGAGGTGCGCGATGTTGAGTTGTTAAAGGTTGATGGTGACGATAGAGATAAAGAAACTAAAAGTCAAACTAAAAGTATTTAAAGGGTTTGGTTTGATTGATTAATACAGCTTTTAATCATTCTTTATAATAGCAGTTTGTGATTCTGAAGTTCAAAATAGGGGAATGAATATAAAAATTATAAGTGAAGGTATTTTTTTTCAAAAACGCCTTCAATAATCCTCTTAAAATTTGACTACGAGATTATTAAAGGCATTTTTACTAAAAGATGCCTTTAATAATCTCAAAAAATTTTTAAAAAAAATTTATTGATGGTGTTTTTTTTTAAAAAAAATGCCTTAATAATCCGGTCCATTTTTTCAATAGCTTGTTTATTGAATGCATTTTATGCCAAAAACGCCTTCAATAATCCTTTAATAATTTTGAAGAGGAGATTATTGAAAGCGTTTTTAGTCAAAAACGCTTTCAAAAAATCTCCTTCTTAAAATTTAAAGGGATTATTGAAGGCATATTATCCAAAAAAAACACCTTCAATTAATTCTTTTAAAAGATTTGAATGTATTAGTGAAGGCATTTTTAGTAGAAAATCACCTTCACTGATGTTTTTCCAATAAAAATGAAAGGGATTATTGAAGGCATATTATGCAAAAAATACCTTCAATAAATTTTTTCAAATAATTTGAAAGAATTAATGAAAATGTTTGCAGTCGAAAACACCTATAATAATCTCA